ACGGTGTTTCCGATGTGATTTCCTGATTGACTTTTTGCTAAAAGTAGCTAACTGCTGCTAATGTTACCTGCCATTAGCTAGTTAGCTTGTGCAGCTAACGTAGCTTTCTCTTTCATGTGGATGTTATATTCTGTCCTTACTTTGCTTTCTGATTCATATCTTCTCCTGTCCCACCTGTATTATATATTATCAATACTGATCTAAAATCAATTCAGTTTCCCTGGAGGTTTCTATGGCTGCAGGAGATCAGTGGAAGGAATATTTGTGTCTCTTTACTGTGTTATATTTTCTTTATTTCTCAGACATCCAGCGGAGCAGATGCATCTCGCTGCTGTCATATTGTTTTCTTATGTAATTGTTGTTACTGTAGTTTGTTTGGCTCCACATGGGACCAAATGCTCCTCACAGATTCCTCCTGCGGGTACATTCAGCTGGATGTGGGTGTGATGATAATAATAACTTGATTTATATTGTTATTATGGAGATAGAAAAGGCTTCCGGACAGTTTCATGAATAAGTGTAATTTGTGTATTTCAAATAATATTACACCCTGTTTGAAATTGAATATAAAATGAAAAAAATTAAATGCAGAATGATACAAATTAGACCTCTTTAAAACATGATAGATACAAATAACTGCGGTTGTGGCAGTGACAGGATGTACAACAGTGTCTGAATGCTGGATAGAAACAGAAGTTTGTCTCTGGTGAGCTGGAGTAAACTCCGACTTTGACCCACTTTCCCAGCATGCTGCAACCGAGCTAAGCGGCCATGTTTTCTCCTCCCACACTGGATGCTATCTGTCGTTTAGGGAGCCCAGGGGGGTCTAATTAACGGACTTTGTTTGTGCCCACGCCGTGGCTCCTGGCGGAGACGATTTGACACACGAACTCTTCAAACACAAAAGATGAGAATGGATATGAAACCCTTTAACGATGGTTAACGAATGGAGTCGGATCAAAGAGGTTTTACTGAGGTTTGTTTCTATCAGTTCTTCTGTTTGTAATGCAGCCACAAAGGAGCTTTTACACCAACAACTCGAATTCTTTAAAGGTCCAAATCCATTTCTGGCTTGAAATATTGGGTCTGGCCGAATATAATCTTTTTTGCTCAATAAGGTTCATAACTGAGTGAAAGGACCCGGATGTATTTCAATGTCAGCTGTGATCAGAGCTGTTTGAATCCTTTAACTGCTGAGGAAAAGAGCTTCTCTGCTTCCTTTATTGTCTCCTTCAGCAGAGGAAACTCTGGACCATCCACCAAGGTGGAGCGTTGGTGGAGCTGAGGCTGAATGAAGCCTAGTTACTGAAAACAGCCACGTGTGACTGCACACACCTGCCACTCAAATCGGCCACGCCCTGAATTATACATAACTTTAATCTGTAATATCATATAAAGGGGTGAGTTGTATAAATGTACAGTTGTCATGAAGGGGTATACTGGCTCTAGAGACCAAAAGGCTGTAAAAGGCTTATTTCTGCTGTACAGTTTGACATTTTAATATGGGGCCTTATGGAGACTGACTCACTGCTGGAGCCAGCCTCTAGTGGCTGTTAGAGGAACTGCAGGTTTCTGTTATTTCAGTGTTTGATTTATTTGCAGCCACAGATCCATTTCCAGAAGGAGATGCAGAGCTGTGAGTGATTAATAACGATTGGTTCTGGACTTTAACGTGAGATGTGCTCTTGGAATTGAACTGACTGAGATGGTTCTTATCAGAGCCATGCTGTCTGCAGCAGTAGTCAGGATGGAAAATATTAATGATAGAGGATCAGAACTGCTGCTGCCACTCTGCGTGTAACAGACGTCATTCACTGTGAAACATTATAATTCTCTCAGTCTTCATCCTGCAGAACCAAACAACAAATATGCTGTAAATACTTTCCTGTTTTACATGGGTTTAAAATATTCAGAGATCATCGTCTATCATGACGTCACACTAATGAAAAGAATTTACACATCAGAAAACAAATTCTGTTTGTCCAGCATCTTAACAATAAAAATAATAATAAAGAATAAGAATGCAAAGTGATTTGCATAAGACATAAAAGAAACGGAAGGCAATATAAAACAACACAATTAAGTTTTAAACGCACAGTAAGATCTCCACAAAGGTCTCCTCTCCGCTGATTAAAGCTGCTAAAAACACTGATTAATGCAGTGAAAATGTGGCTTCAAACTAGATAAAAGGTCAATCTATGACAGCTTCTGATTATAGATTATTGATTGAATCAACTCCACATAGAACAGACTTCTAGAGTTTATACACTGTTTAATAATTATAGATTATTGATTTAATTTGTGTTCTTGTTGTTTAGCTGGAGCAGCTCTCACCTGCTCATTCCCTGGACTTCTCTTAATCCCAACATAAGAACATAAGTCTAGAGTTTCTACACTGTTTATTGAATAAATGTAACAGATTATAGATTTAAAAGAGTAAAATAAAAAAATAATGACAGGAAAATAAAATAGACAAACTTAAAAGAACATAAACTGTCCTTCAGTACTTAATTAAAAGTTTTTGTTGTTGGAATTTAAAGAAAGATCTCATTTTATGTCAGATATTTGCCGACATTGTAGATAACAGAAGATCTGGTCTGTGTTTTTTGGTGAATCCAGGACTTCAGTAACTCGCACAAGACTTAAGAAGATAAATGATCCACTTAACCTTGCCTGTAGTCCCTCACAGCCTTTATTGTCCGATAACAAAAAACAATAAGATAAGGTTTCTTTTTCCTCTCTGATCCTCTGCTTTGCTGTGTCAGATGGATCTTCCTCCATTTTCTACTTTTCTCTCTCCTTATCTTTCTCCCATGCTGCCTTGCTCTCAGTAATCAGTGAACATCTCTGTTACATACTGAAAACTGTGAACTTACATGTGCTTCTATAGATAGAGTTCAGTGACAGACTCACAAATTAAAACAAGATCAGACAAAATGAGATGAATGCTTGTGTGTAATGTCTGTCTCTTACCACACTGATTAATATCAGACACTGTGTGTTTATATACTTATTAGGACTGTAGCCTGATAATCATGTCATTCCTCAGTCTGACATTGTTTCCATCAATGTACCTCGCCTGCAACAGCGAGCTGGAAGTCAGCCCAAACGAGCTAACATAGCTAACAAAGCTAACAGAGCTAACTAGCCATGAGCAACTACTGTCAGACTCCCAGTGTCAGCTTTCACAGTCACTAGAACCACATTCACCCTGTTTCTAAAAGCTTCTGTCAGCTACCTTTCTGTAGCTAAGCTAGCAGCTGTGTTGTAGCTGAGCTAGCTGCTGTACTGTAGCTAAGCTACTGTACTCTCCAGTGTGTCTGTGTGTCTGTGGGGTGGGGTGGGGGGGCTGTCTGTGTGGGATCAAGGTAAAGATTGCAGTCCGGTGCTTCTACAGCGTCTAAAGTCCGAAACCACTGCAGCACAATATAAATATGCGAAGTAGAGGGTTAGCAACAGCTAGCATAACCTCCTGTGAATGATGCGTCTCCATCAGTTTACATTTGGCTGGGGGAGGCTTGGGAGGCTGGGGGAGGCTGGGGGAGGCGAGCTGCCCTCCTCTGATTAGAGGAAGTAACTCTGTTTTTATGGAAATGTCCCAAACTGTCCACTCTGTGCCAGCACTGGACTCACAGGGTTCAGGTGGATTTACAACAGTAGAGGGCGAGTGGAGATGTGGAGATATTCTAAGATTCTTATATTATAAACTGATAATAATGTGAATATTAACAGCACTGATGTTTGTTCTCAGTAGTGTACCTGGTTATTTTCCACCTGTTGCAGTAGAACACTGCATTGTGAAATATAAACGTGTCTTCAGTGCAGTTATTCACGCTCTGTGGGGGGGTTTGTGTTTTTTTGTCCCTTTTTCCTTTTTTTTTGTTCCTCCATTTACCAAAACATCTACGGACATTGTTCACATCTAAATACACTCCTGCTGCTTTCTTAATTCCCACATCCTCCCTCCTCTCCTCCCTCCTGAGTCTCAGCCTGTGACTCTCAGTGTAAACGGCGTCCATCAGACTGTGACAGCAGGACCATAACGCATAAAGACAGTGGGGCTGAACTCTATGAAACCCGCTCTGGGAAGCCCATTACAGCGTGGCCGAGCCTCTTTATGCATTCATCCCGGGCCGACATTAGCCCTCTATTGGGTTCACGGGGCCACGGCTCCGGGATGCAAGCTCAATATACACAGCGCATAAAACATTAATGGCGTGCCCCAGCTGTCTGCTGTTGTTCTCCGCTGTAGGTGAGGGTCGAGAACACACCGGATAATAAAAAACAATCCTTCACCAGCTCATAAAAAGTGTCAAGAGTTTGGTTCTGTGTCCAGGCGTTTTTACAGGCCGTGTTTCCTGAGGCCGTTCCTTAGTCCCGCCCCTTTCTGCTCTGTGCTCCAATAACAGTTGAGCGAGTGTTGGTCAACTTCCTCCTCTCCTGTACTTAGATATGCTTTCCGCCAGCCGGGTTGCCACCCATCCCGTACATTTTGGGATTGTTCTGCATTGAAAGATAAAATGTCCTTTATTGAATAAGTCTAATGTACAACATGTTTTCACCTACATTCAATCACACAAGAAATCATAAAACCAAACGGGTGGAATCAGTAATTCATGAAACCCCAGAACTGTAGTTATTATATCGTACTGTGTTTCCAGCACTGACCCCCCCCAAAAAAATATACAAGCCAACTAGCTAATGATTGACATTAATTTTTAGCTATCTAGTTACAACTAATAGCAAATGTTAGCAAAACAAACTAGCTAGCTAATTTACATACAGTCGTTACCTAGCCAGTTACATCTGTGGTTAGATAACAATTAATCATTAGCTATCTAGTTATTGTTTTGCTAACATTAGCTAACAAAATATATATATATGTCTCTTTTAAATTTATTTAATATTTTGCTGAGGAAGAAGTCATTCCAGCAACGAGCCGCTCTCATTTATTGGTTGTGTTTTTGTCCCTAATCGCTCTTCGTCCTCCTCCTCCTCAGCTGTACATCCAGACCACCACACTGACCATCTCCATGAACCTGAGCGCGTCTGTGGCCCTCGGGATGCTTTACATGCCCAAAGTCTACGTCATCATCTTCCACCCGGAGCTCAACGTGCAGAAGAGGAAACGTTCCTTCAAAGCCGTCGTCACGGCCGCCACCATGTCATCCCGACTCTCCCACAAAGCCAGCGACAGACCCAACGGGGAGGCCAAGACGGAGCTGTGCGAGAACGTCGACCCCAACAGTAAGTAGCGACGGACTCCTGTCAGTCCACATGGGGAAAACTGTGATTTCTATCAGAGGCTGAAATGAAATGAGGTCCTGCAGTCACATATAGAGCCCACTAAATGAGGTGTAAAACTGTACCTGATCAATTGAAACGTAATAAAGCATGTTATTATTTTACTCATCCATCCATACATTGATTTCACCTCCTGGACTGACTGATTTGTATGAAGGATGAATATTAATCCACTACGTTCTTCTTGTTTCCTGGACTGAAAACAGCTTTAAAATGAGAGCAAGTTCAAATATTTCCAAAGTGTTGGACTCGTTCTGTGTCACTTAATGGACCTCACACAGCAACCTTCTCTTAGATTCCCTCTTTTCTGTTATCAGATATAAGAGAAATTAACTCCAGATGCACCAAAATGTTCTTAATACAGTAAAAAATATCAGTAGAAAAATGAACAAAGCAAATGAATGAATTAAAGAAGTAATTGATCTATTGATGATACATATGATAAGAGTATCATCCAAGGGTTTTTATAGTTTCATTACGGATCAATGAAGCAAAAACATTTCTTCCAATTTTATAATCCAGCTAATGTGTTTATGTTCCTCAAATGTTTCTTTTTTATGTGAAAAATTATCTCAGAATTATGAGATAAATCATTAATTCAGAAAAACAGTATGAGATAATTAGGCGTTAAAAGCAGGTTTGTTTTCAGGTGAATGAATTACGCATCCATAAGTTCTGGACTTGGCCTGACCTCATCATCAGCTGCAAAGTTTGTGATTACCATCCTCATGTTTCTTCAGATTCTTACAGGACTCGTGTGCAGTAAACACATGTAGATAATCCTGGCAGAGATTATATGAACTGAGTTTATTGGAGAGGTTGACTCAGATTATTATTATGTTAATCTCTGCTGAACACACACAGTATCATCCGAGTGTTTATATAGTTTTAATTGGAATCAATGGAGCAATAATGTTTGTTTAGCCCACAGAATAATCCAATCACTGTGATTACTATAAAACACGTAATCTGATATTATTATATGATGTTCATCATATTGCTTCTTGCTTGAGGCCCGAGAAGTTGTTAATTCAGAAAAACAGAGGATGTTTTATTTTGGGAGCGACCGCTGATTCATATTCAACAAGCTGAAGGTTTGTTAAGGAGACAGCCGTTATTATGTCTCATTCATGGGTTTTTTCAGTGTGAAACCTTTTTACTTTTATGATTTGAACATGAAGTTTTATCAGGACACACACCATATTCCATATTTCCATAACAAACACCGAGCATGCAAAAACATAATTTTCTCTGATATGGAAAAAGAACAAAATGACAAAACTTGCTTTTTTGCTCTGCAGGAAAAAGGAATAATAATTTCCAACCTGAATGTTCTCAGAAATATAAATTTCATGGCAATGTGATCACATTAGCAGCTCGCAGTGGGATTCCCTCTGGGGCTCTCAGGGACAACTCACCAAATCATGTTTTTCTCCCCCTGACAGGCTAATTTCATAATTTATCAGAGGTAAGAGCAAATTAATCTTCTACTTCTGCTTTGCTGTCCTGACCTTGATCCATTTCCTTCTGGAGGAGGAGAGAGGGGGATAAAGGGAGAGGAGGGAGTGTGTGCGGGGAATGTTAAATATCCTCCACAGCTCTTTATCGCCATCTTTCAATTGACTCATAACTTTTACATGAGGACAGCGTAATGTGACTGTTTGAGTGGCAGATTTACAGTCAGTCTCTGCTGCTGCGTGCTCGCTGTTAGGGCACCACTTTAACAACACGATTGACCCCTGAGAACTCCAATTTTTATGGAAGCCCATTCCTGCCAATGTGCCGTAAATAAAAAAGGATTCTGTAACTCTTTATAGTGAGAAACTGTCTCAGAATAATGACTTTGTATTACTAAGTCATTAGTTTGAGATATTAAGTCAATCTTATGAGATATTAAGTCATTATTATGAGATATTATGTCATTATTATGAGATATTAAGTCATTCTTATGAGATATTAAGTCATTATTAAGAGATATTATGTCATCATTAAGAAATATTAAGTCATTATTATGAGATAATAATATGATTTTATGATTAAGTTTCTCATTATAATGACTTACAGAATCCTTTTTTCCGTCACATTGGCAGAAATAGGCTTCCATTGCTTTTACTGCTCTTGCTCCGCTAATGTAGGCAGGCTGTGAGAGGATCCTGCAGGTGCAAGTTCAACAAACTGATTGCTTTATTTGATAGCTGTCCACTAGCGGGATCCTTAACTTTGTGTTGATTCAGCCTCTGACATTAAGAATAACTATAAATGTCCGTATACAGGCATCAGTATGAAACTGAGACTGTTAAAACTGTTGCTGTAATAGTTTGATAATAAAACTGTGATCATTAGTGTTTATGTGAAGCTCTTGGTGGTCCATCCAGGAGTTCACAGGCTTTTTTTGGATTTGTCCTAAAATGTCTGATTTCACAGCAGCTTTTCTAAAGAACAGCAATGTTTTTTACATTTTACAATGGGAGGAAGTGAAAAGTCCGACAGTAAATGAGTAAAAGTAGGAAAACAAATCTTTTCATAAAATATATGTATTTGAAGGTAAGCAATGTCACTTTTATAGAATTGGCTTATTTTCATTTAGAATGGAAAAGAATGGTAGTAGAAGGTAGTCGATGGTAGTTGATTATAGATGTCAGTAGCTGGCGGTAGCTGACGGTAGCTGACGGTAGTCAACGGTAGAGAGTCGGCGCTGTCAGCAGATTACAACTCAGTCTCGACTCCATGAAGATCAGCACAGCCATCTGTCGGCCCAGGTCGACTCCCCCCTCGTTTCTCACTCCATTTCTCCCCCTCCGCACTCAGGTCTCACTCCATCTTTAAACCCTCTCTCTTTCACCTCGTTATAACAGCCCTCAGTCACTGACGATGGCTTCATCCCTCCTCCTCCTCCTCCTCTCTGCTCCTGCAGCTGATTCCCCGACAACAAAGACTTATCTCTAGCCGTTCTTCTGGCTTCAGTTGCTCTTCAAAGGCCAAATCCCTCTGATTCTGCTCTTAAAAGGCCTCTCTGCCTTCCTCCAAAAGCTCATTCCTGATACAACAAAGGCGGCTCTGTATCTCTAACACTCTCAGGGCCTCGAATGCACTCAGAGAGGAGCCCTTACAAGCCGTAGCTCCAAATCTCAGCCTCTCTTTCGGCGTTGCCCATGGGGTCTGCGACACTTCCACATTACCGTCTTCTGGGATTAGCCTTTCTAACACTCCCACACCTGTGGCTCACCTTTTAACTCTTAGTGTGAGGAACGAATGGGAGCTTCAGATGTCAACAAATGCATTCACTGGTAGTGTTTCTACTGCCTCGTCTTACTGATTTCAAGGGGACTTTAATAATAACTATATAGAAATCTTTTTGATGAAAATATATAGAGGCATCAGTATTAAACTGAAACAGTACAAACTCCTTGTAATAGTTTAATAATAAAACTGTGATGTTATATATGATGTTTATGTGTAGCTCTTTAGATGATTCATCCATGCTTTTGCAGGTTTTTTTGGGGATTGTTCTGATTTCACAGCAGCTTTTCTAAAACATTTTCATGCATGTTGTGGTGTTTTTAGCAACAAAATTGCAGGAAAAAGTGAAAATTGCATAAATACAACAATAAATATTGTATAATTAATAAAAATTGAGGCAAAATTTTCCAGTTGTTACAAAATCTCTATAGTTTGTATGGACATAAAAAGTCCATGAACTGAAACTATTTCCACAAATAACAAAGAACAAAGACTGAATATTATACCAAAAGTCACATTTCTGTGTCAGATATTCCAGCTGCAAAAAGGACGCCACTCTAAAGAACATTTAGTGATATGTGCAATATGATATATACAATATATAGTTTTAGAGAGAATACAAAAATAAACCAAGCAGGCACCATGCTCCATTTTGATTTTAGATACCTACAAATTTTATAATTAACATAATGAATATTATTTCACCAAGAACAATGTGTAGAAGAGATCAATTCTGTTGAACTTAAAATACAACATTTATTTGAAACGTTTCGGTACCAGGTGGGTTCAACCATGAATGCTCAATATGTGCAGACTTGGAGCCTGTGGGATCTATTGCTTGCTATAGTGAATGTTGATCCGTTGGAGAAACATGTGACTATTGTTGTTCAATGTACAGAGATTTTGATATATTGTGTGATGTGATTTGGAGGCTGTCACATTGAACATTGAGAAGGGAAATTATGTTTGCAGACTCATAGCCGCTCTTTATTTAAGACGGCTTCTAATTGTCAGGAACCAATGGCCTGATGAAGGTCTAGAACCGAAACATCATATTGTAAGTAAGACAGTTTGTGAGAATGTTTCGAGTTTCATGAATTTGGGAGGATGTTTATCCCCCTAAAGCTGCCATCAGTTGTAGAAAAGTTAACACCAACATTCAACTCATTGCCACAGCAACAGCATAGCTTATCATCATCAACATCTTGAGGGTCTTCTGACCAAATTTCAGCTGGATCCGATCAACCTGCTAGGAGTACATGAAAGTATGAAATATGTAATTTCCTGTGTCCAGCAGGGGGCGCTATGACTGTATCTGAATATTTGCAAAGAGATGTGTTCAGGGCGGGACTCTTATCAAACATGAAGTGAAACACTGAAGTTATGACTTAAAAATTTGGCACCAGGCTACAGACACGCTGTTTGATGCCACAAATAGTACAACTTTTAACCATGATGGTCTTTAGATTACACTGATCAAATCTGAAGTTGATCCGATAAATTCCCTAGGAGGATGGGTATAGGGCTGGGATGGTTTATGGGTCCAAGAGGCTTTTTTGTTCATCTCATCGTGATACATGGGCAGACCAATTTTCATACATATTGGTCAAACGTGCCTCAGGGGCTGAGTTGAGGGCAAGCCATTTTGCGACACCACCATGAGACCCACAGAATAGGACCTTGAATGAACACAGTGGACCTGTGTCTGTTAGTTATTCTCTAACTGTGTGTACTGCAGATTAACACTCTCTATGTCAGGGATATAATAGAGAAATTAAAATGTTCCACATTGTTTTGGAGGCTCCTTCCTCCATCTTCTTCCTCAATTTTCTCCTCTTCATCCTGACAACCTGAAGAGAAGCTTTCTCTGTAAATTTACTGAACTCCAAACACAGTATCAGTGAAAGGTTCAGGGACTGTCAGACTGCTTTCTGTATGAACAATGACAAAGTTCATCACACCTTCATATGCATATTCCTCCTTTATCTTCCCGGCATGATTGATGATGGGCTTTTGGCTCAAAGCCATTTGTCACCAGATGGACACCGAGGGGCCGAGGGGGAGGACGGGGGAGGGGCAGCTGCAGGGGGGAGATAGGGAGGAGGTCAACTTGCTCATGTAACATCTGAGGGTCTTATTTTCATCCAGCTGCGACCACCAGCTCTGCTGAGAATCTGATTATCAATAAGATCGGCTAAAATTCAGCAACAACTGGATCTTTAAATATTAATAGATATTTTCATAAAACAACACAGTCTGTTAAAAGACCATGTCAGATTCACATATTCTTTGGCTTGACAGGACCAAATCTGGTAGGGCTTTGGTCAGTCCAGCTACCAGAAGTCTTCAAATAAGATGTAATAAGATAAGAATTTTTTTTTAAAGGAAGTCTTGTTAATGCAGTTACTGCTCTCTGATGTATTTCAGTAGTCCAACTCTGAAGTTAGCATCGTCCTGCCTCCTTCCACAAACAGCCAATGAGATTGCTCCATTGGATTTTGGATTATAGCAGAAAATAATCTCTGTGGTGAAAAAAGTTTCAGATACTGCTGATGATGACGCTGAACACCACTTTTATGATTCTTTAAGGCATTCGCCAGAAATAAAAAGCTAACGTTAGGCTAACAAACTCACCACCACTAAACTGCCAACTGGTAATTAAATGTTCCAGCTGGCAGGCATGTATTTATACAGAGAACGTATTCAATAATCCCTGCGATCAATATTCACCTTCAGCCTGCTGCATCTTTATGAACCAAAGCCAACAGTCCGAGCTGGTTGTAGCTCTCGAACTATTGAAATAAGACCCTTAAATAAAGAAAATTTAAGCTTATATGCAATATGGACAATTTTCCAGCAGCTAAATGGCTCTAGCCAACAAACATATCCACTCATTATTTTGCTATCAATACCATTGATGCTGAACCCATTTCGTACAAATAAAATTTAAGTTGGATTGCAACCAAATTTGAAATATCATACGTAAAGCCATGTGTGTAACATTTCATACAGTTCTAATGATGATAGCTGGAGTTTAACATGTCAGAAATGAATTCAGCATCCTCAAAAATTTTTAAACCCACTCCTTTATTGTCCAAATCAGCCAATCAGCTGCTGAAACATTGTCCATATAGCTGACTAGTAATGCTAATTATGTTAATTGTCCAAAATATGCAAGTTAGCGTCTGTGTAAATGCTGGAGACCCATACTGAACATTTCTAACATTAAACTTTATACTCAGTATAATAGTTCTGGTTCACAGACTAAGAAGCTGATATTTTGGTAGATTTTGACTTATGACCTCTCAGCACCTGGAAAACATGACGTTACTGAATTACAGCGAATTATAAAAAAGAAAAGAAGATTCTCCCTGTTGAGAGTTCATAATTCAAGCTCTATTTAAACCGTTTCCCCTCCATCACAACCTTTTAATCTTCAGATAACAGCCTCAAGACACTGAGTCGTGTCCGTTTTCTGTCTCTTCCAGGTCCGGCAGCGAAGAAGAAATACGTGAGTTACAACGACGACCCTGTGATCTAACACCTTCCTCAACCGCTGGGAGACGGGCGGTCTCCTCCCGCCAGCTAAAACACGAAGAAGAGGAAGGAGAGAAGAATGTTTTTCTTTTCTTTTGTTGTTTAATGTTGCTTCATTGCCCACCACAAACTTTCAGATGCTACAGCGAAGCATTGTGGGACTTTCCTTTGGGCATCAGTGAGAGAGAAGACGTTTAAAAAAAAAAAAAATCTTTTTGTTGGTGATGATGATGATGATGATGATGATGATGATGAGGGTGAGGGCGTCTCGCAGCCTCCGGGTTGTCGGCAGAGCTCTCGGGGCTCCACGTTGATGTCAAACAAAGCGGCCGTCTCGGTCCGCCGTGACCTTTCTACGGAGCCCCGCCTCCTCTCATCTTTTAATGTACTTCCGAACTGCAAGTTCTCCAACCCTCCTGTCCGCCCCCATGTGCTTCTTTATGGCTTCTATGTTCTGATTTTATTTGATTTCCTTTGTTTTTTCCTTTAAAGACGACGATGATTATGACGTTGGTGATGAATCTGTTTTGCTCTTGCTTCTTGGATGCACATTGTTTTTTATTAAAGCCATATTCTTCGCTTTGAGATTTTGAGGGCTTTGCTCACGCCGCCGCCTTGAATCTGATTTTTGCGACTAAAATGTCATCTGGCATGAAAAGTTGGACAACTGTTAAAGTCCTGAAAATGCCCCCCACCCCCCTAATTTCAGTTGCACCTTCTGAGATTCAAAAATATCCTAAAAAAGTTCATAGTACTGCATTTCCTATTGTTTTAGCCTATATTTGTTCATATCTTGTCAAATTGTCACCAATAAGCAAACTGAATTAGCCGTTAGCAGCTCCTGTTAGCAGTGTACACAATAATCTACAGACTGGATTATGTTATAGTGAAGAAAACTTAGAAATATGATAATTCTCAGGCAAGTTCTGCAGTTCTAAGGAAGGTCTTTTTTTCCATGACTTTCAAGTGGATTTATGGCCATTTATTCATGATGGACATCAGAGATAATGATGTACAAAGTTCAAGTCACACTGAATCTAAAAATATGTTCATCATTTTATAGTTCCTTCATTTTATAAAATACAGGTGAATTTCCCCCATATTTTATAAAAGGTATCAGATCTTCCTTTCACAGGAACTGTGGTTTTTCAATCACTGGCTCATTGAGGGTTTTTCTGGATTTTCCGAAAGACATACACTGTCTGTTTAAGACACAACAATATCTTTTCTTACTTAATCTAAATACAGAAAATTTGAAATTGCAGGAGCTTTATGTTTTTTTTTCATAATTAAAAAAAAAAAATGTTCCCCTTCTAATTATTATGACTTATGACTAATTATGAATTATATATCATCATTTTGCTTTTATATTTAATAATTTTGACTTTTTATTCAATCAATTTGATGTTTCATCACAATTTCAATATATTTTTTACTTTTTGTTTCATAATTTTAACTTAATGTGAAGAAGTTTTAAGTTTATTTTTTATTTTACTTTCAGAAATGGGCTTCCATACAAAACAGTAATAATACAAATAGTATTTGCCGATTATTATTATTATTAGTTTCTCAGACACTGTCCAGCTGCTAACGTTAGCTCAGCTTGTTTCTCTGATAACTTAAGATCCAGACATCCGATCCTTCATCCGGTTCAAATCTAGAGATAAAAAGCACCAAGATCTAAACAGTGGATGGTAAAAATGTGGCTTCACACTGGATAAACAGTCAATATATGACAGCTTCTGATTCTTGATTATTAATTGAATCAACTACATATAGAACATAGCTCCAGAGTCCATACACTGTTAATAAAGAAACTTGACATTATAGATTTGATTTGAGAGCTGAAGCAGCTCTCACTTGCTCATTCCCTGAGCTTCATTTTCTCTCCATCCCAAGTACATCACTCCACTACATATAGAACATAGCATTTGTTATAGTTTATACACTGTTCAATGAGGAAATGTTGCCTGAATAAAATGACATTTGTCAACATTTGTGATAATGTAAGAACATTTCAGAGCTTTCAGTGGTAAAAATCAGATTCTTCAGTCGGTTGAAGCCAAAAAATTACTAAAATAAAAACAGGCGTGTTTTTATGCCTTTCTGTTGGAGCTGTTTGAACTGTTTGTGGTCCTCATGATGAAAGCATCCCCATCCCAACACGTGTGTTCCTTCTCCACATACATGACGACTTCTCCAGTATTTTGTAGGTGTGTGCTGATGATGATGATGATGACGACCCTTAACTGTGTTGACTTTAAAAGAACTTTGGTCCGGGTTCAGTCACTGGACTTCTGATACAACGAGAGGTGTTGATGTGGAGGTTGTCAATGCATGCCTGATATGTTCGATGTTGAATCCGAAAAAAAAAAAAATTTAAAAGATGAAATCCTCACGACGACACGGTTGACTCCACCCGTCTGCTCTGAATCGTAACTGTTTTTTGTTTCTTTATTCCACTTCCTCACGCAGCAGCAGAATATGGCTTTGATTGGTTTCTTATGTTCCTGGAAACTACGGGAAATGGAGAAAAAAGATGAATATATATTTAAAAAAAACAAAATACTTGTTAAAAAAAAGGAAGCATGTATGTTTTCTACTGTTTGTACTCGGTATATTCATGTTGCCCTTGCTGCTTATGTGCCAATGTTGTGGGAGAGATTTACATTCGGCCACTCATGCAACTATTCTGTGGTGTTGTCCAAGAATGTATCAACATGAAATAAAAAACATTTGGTTATTTTTTTATACATGTTCCCCCGAGGAAACGCAGTTTGTCTCAGAAAGCTTATTCCACTTGCCTCCAGACATATTTGATTTATCCTTGTCTTCAGGGTGGTCTGATCCTTTCAGGATTTGTAGAATATCATCATCTGAAAACGAAAGTCTTGTCTCCACTTTTGCTTTTCTTTGCTCTAAATGAGATTTAACAGGTTGCTTTTGTGGAGAAAATGATTAAACGAATTTGGAGAAACTGTTGGGAATAAAGAGAAAATATCTTAAGTGCAGAAAATTAAGCACTCATATCTCAATTCCTCAGCAACTTCATTGAATATTATCAATAAAACTGAAATCTTAAGACCCTGAACGCAGCACGCAGATTGCACTCAGACAACAGATACACAGGGAAACGTTAGATGAGCAGAATAATGAGTGGTCAGTTCAGCTGAATACTGTACTTAAGTAAAAGTAGAATTACTGGTTGGATGTTAAAAAAGGTCAGTTCAAATATACTGTGAGCAGGGGCGTGTCCAGAGGGGGGACCTGGGGTGTCTACCGTTTAAATCTGAAGGGTTCTGTCCTGGAAATTGTTGTATTTTACGCGTCACTCAGAGACTCGACAGTTGCACTGCAAAAACTAACCTTCTAGAAACAAGCCAAAGTAAAATTTTCTTCTATTGACCAAAAAAAACATAAATTGTTAGCTAGCTAGTTATTCAGTGTTTTGCTACAGCAAAAACCATGACCTAACTAGCGAGCTAACCAGAAACATTCTTATTTTTATCATTATTAAAACAATGAAAAACTAAATAGCTCTTTTCTTTTTTTTTCTGCTTTTTAGACAAAAATAAGACTCATTTCAAGCTGGAAAGAAGATACTGGTATCATATGTAACAAGAAGGAAGAAGCTGAAGTTCACAGTGCAGACGGAGGCAGTTGGAGCTGGATATCAGCTGTAAGTGTACAGAGATATTCACCCATCAGTTTATAGACCGTTTAACAGTTTGATTTAGAGAGTTTTTGTTTTAGGGGCGGCTGTGGTGCAGAGGCAGAGCGGGTTGTCCCCTAATCGGAAGGTTGTTAGTTAGATTCCCGGCTCCTGCCGCCACATGTCGAGGTATCCTTTAGCAAGATACTCAACCCCAAATTGCTCCCGATGCTGTGCATTGGTGTGTGAATGAGCTAGTTTCTGTTCGATGGGCTTTGCCATCGCTGTGTGAATGTGTGTGAAAGGGTGAATGTGGCACGTAATGTAAAAGCACTTTGAGTGGTCGGAAGACTAGAAAGGAGCTATACAAGTACAGGTCCATTTACCATTTTCCAAACCATGACACCTAAGACAAAGATACAGTTGAGTCAATAAAATAACGTTTATGGTGTTCTTGACTCAGTTCTATCTAGTGGATTTTGTTGATGGTTTGCAAGTTTTGAGTTAGTAATATTTGTATGAATTATTTCTGTCTGACTCCTGTTTTCTAACATAACTTATGTCTTTGGTTTTAGATATAAAGGTTAACTGTTAAATCACTCCAGCAAAGTCTGTATCTAAGTTTCTAGCTTCAGTTTTTTGGCATTAAAATAACACAATGCGCTGCAGTGACGTTGTCTTAGAGTGGCAATCCTTAAAGGTTATATAGAGAGAGAGAATTCAAACATTAATACAGCAGCAGTCAGCTATAAAAACCACTGGCTCAGAACGAGCCATTAATACAGCATAAAGTTAACCCAGTATTGTGTGGGCACTGAATTTGATGAGGAACATAAATGACCCTAATTTGAAAACGAGTCAGAACGAGCATTTAAATGAATGGAGTCTGGTGCACGTAAACTTTGTACATATCAAACATTAATGTGACACTGATTCTTCACTCACTACAGTTGTTTACTCAGAATCAGGAGATTTTTTGCCGACTAATTAAAGCCAAAGTTTGGAGTATTACTTTCCAAGTTCACCAACTTTTTTCTGTTATTACAAAACACAAAATAAAGTCTGCATTTTCCACTGCAGTGGATGTGAAGGAGCTTCGTCAGCATGTTTTCCTGCTGCTGGGATATCAGAGCCTTAATGCAACTGTCTCATCCTCCCTCCCAGAAATACTAATTGGTTCGGCAGTGGCGACTAATCTAATTGGACACTGAAGGTTAGTTATGTGAATCCAGACAGAGCCGCTCCTTATCTGTCGCTCAGAAACAGACCGACAACCATCCTGCTAGAGCTTTATTCCAGGTCCAGAGAGCGAGCGGGAGACGGGGGAGGAGCTGGGAGTGAAGGGGGAGTTTTTATGAACACAAAAGATTTTATGTTACTGTGAAGTTCTAATTAATCCCCTCAGGAATATTCATCCTCTACATTCATTTCTTAAAGACAAACTGAAATTATAAGTTAGTTTTTTCACATATTACATAAATCCACTGTAAAAAAAAAAACTGTAATAAAAAAACTGTAATATTCCAGCAGCTGGAGCGCCAAAGAAAAATAACAGAAATTAACAAAATAACTCATAAAGGTTTTGTCTTTTTAATGTTTAATTAAAAATATTTACACTATAAAACCAATGCAATAAGCTATACATACAGGTGAACACTGCTATAATACAAATAATCAGGCTTACATTTACTGCAGAGTGCTGTTATTATTTGATTGTTCTTATTTTAATCAGAATTTAAAAAGTTATAGAACTGTAATAAAAGTCATTATCTGTTAAATTACAGTAATTATTGCTGTTTTCACTTATAAAATCTGTATTTGGAATTATACAAGATATGTCAGTTAACAAACAAATCCATTTTAAAATTATTAAATTAAAATTACAAATACTTTTTACTATTGTCATTAATTTTACATAATTTTAGAAATGTATTAACAGTATTAAACTTGAATTTAACAGTTTAATATATGAAATAAACAGTAAATATTTGTAGAAAAAAATAGATTTGCCAATTTATTTTAATCTTTTCATGTGAAAGTACACGTGTGGTGTGGTGCACACACCAGTCCACCAAACACACAACTTTATTATCACTGTACAAACACAACTTTATTATCACTGTGCAGAAACACAACTTCCGAGACTTATGATTTATGGAGATTGACTTGTTGCGTTAGCTAACATTAGCCCAGGGGTGACAGGAGCCAAAACCGACAATAAACCCACCTAAGTCCTTTATTCCTTGTACTCAAACTGTCCTCCGTCAGCATCAGATGCTGCATTCAGTCCCGGTCTGAACCTGCTGTTCACTGGGAGCTCCCAGCAACAGCTCAGTTCACGTAACAGCCACTGGTGGCGCCGTTAACAACAGTTAAATCGAAGTTACAGAACCTTTAAGAAGATGAATTTTCGTCCTCTCTTTTGCTTCTCTGGCAGAATCCACATACATTCACTGGATGGTTGTTAGACTTGCTGATCAATACCAACCAATCACTGACCACTTTACCAACTGCTGGCTGAATCTGAGACGAACGAGAGATTCTCTGGCAGACTGCGAGCAACCAGAGAGACACTGAGACCGAATGAAACTATGTTCTAAATGACTCGGTGTTATTGAGCCTCTCTCTGTCGCTGTGCAGGCGCTGAATGATGGCAACTTCCACAGACAAACCCATTCACTCACCAACTCTCAGTCTGAACTGTCAGAGACTGATCTGATTGCATCTCAGGGTGAGAAACAGCAGAAGGGACACAGTGGGGATGGATGGGAGGAGAAGGAGGAGGTTCTGCTGATGTGGCAAACTGCAACTCTCTGGTAATTTGTATTGCTTTCACTTCTCTCTTCAAGGTTCCCACGCAGCCTAGAAAACCTGGAAACTGATTAAAATATCCTGGAAAATTGGGATTGCATTTTAGCCCCTCACTCAGATCAACCTGGGTTCGTATTTAGTTTGAAACTAACAGAATGGACTTTGAGTCGTCGGTGTTACAGTCAGAGGAAGTCTGTCGTCAGTTTGGAGACTGAAGCTGAAAAAGCTGGTAAAAACTAGTGATGTCACAAGAACTGATGCTTCGGTACCAAGTCGAAACCAACATTTAGAAACAGAAATTGACAAACCCAATTCACAGCGAGTAGTGTGAACGTTCCTGAGCATTTTTACTGCCAACAGCTTTGACTTTAGACTCTGTGTTGTGGTGGGTGTCGGGTGTTTGGAGACGTTAGTGGAGCTCCATTTATAAGCTAACATTACCACATACATTTTGCAGAGTAATGAATATTATAGTAATATATAGGGAACTGTAAACTGGTTTTATGATTTTTTAATAATTCTTATCTTTAGCAGTTTGTTTGAGAAATTCTTGTGTGTCTGGTAGAAACTATAATTTAAAGTGATATATTATTTACATAATTTCTACTTTCCCTAAAACATACTGGGCATTAAATATTATCAATGAATAATAATAATGACTAATTATAACCCGGAGAATCAAATAATGAACTTAGAAACAATATCAAAAAATGCAGCTCATCACATACCAAAATCACGTTGATAGCAGTAACAATGTCTAATTACAGACTGAGGTTAGACTGAATTTACAGACTATAAACCGTGTTATACGTGGACAGTGCATCACTGTCTGCAAACACTGAAACATCAAAAGCTGACTGACAGCGGATCCAGCTGTGATCCAGCTGTGCCGCCGTCATCAGACTCAGACGTCTCTTCAGATCACGGTTCAGAGGACGTGACGTCTTGTTTCCTCGATTCCTCTCGTCCTCATCATCAGTGGGAGGGGCTCAGACATGAGCAGGTTGATGATACGACTCAAAACCGTTAGTGAACATCAGCGAAGAGTCACTGTGATGATTCTTCCTGTAGGAATCCAGACGCCAGGACAGTAAGGCTGCTACGCTTCAATCAATGACAGACACAGCAAAGCCATGTGGCGTGGGTTGCTATAGAAACACGTGAGCTGCGGTGCGTCCTGAGGGATCTATCTGTTCAATCAGCACCCAGTCCGATCAATTATTCCACATTCTTATTACAGGTACACATTCTTACTCTTACTACTCTTATAATTATTGAAGTGAAGGTC